TAGATAGATAGATAGATAGATAGATAGATAGATAGATAGATAGATAGATACACGTACAATAGGTACACTAAATGACGCTGACTATCACAAAGTTGGAACATTACCAGTTCCCAACTGACATATTCCAGAACTTAAGATAACCTCTTCGTTATTCGTGGGTTTATTGAGCTGTACATGTATAGAATTGGGCGCAGCAATTGAAAGCACATGCAAGCAAATATACATACGTGACAACGTTATTCTTGTTTCTTCTTTCATCCCCTTCATCAACTTATAAGTCGGGTAAATCCATTATAAACCAGATTTTTCCTTACCAACAAAACATGAAGGTAAACTTAGCATCGAATATTTTCTTTGTGTAATTCTCGCGTTCCACTTATTAAAACCCTATTAAATACGCCTCATTCTAATTAATGTGCCCTGAGAAGACGATAATCATCCAGCAATCTGCAACCTTTAAAAAGTTGTTCAAAATTCGGATTTATTGAATAAACTGTCAAATCGAAAATACTCCAATGTTAGCTATTTAGGTAGTTTATCCCCGCCAATCATGATGGGAAGTGTGTTTGAACTATCACCCCATTCTGCATAGCTTATTCGATCAATGCTTTCTTTTCGGTAACTCCCTATTATTGTACACACCTCAAGCGGCATGTACTTGCATTACCATGACAGCATTTCAAAAAACCTACCTAATCAAGTATTCAGCTCAGTGAAATATCAAAAAGACGGCTGGCTGTTCGGCGTGTACCGTCTACTGCTGTTGCTTCTGGTTCCTCAACTCAGCTTGGTCTTTCCTTACTATGAATACGACTCCATTGTGGTTCACATGGCCGGTAAGCGTTACAGCTTACTAAAGCTCCATGTACTGGTCTGAACTGAATTAGGACGGCAAAACGGAATGCATGCTGAGACTGTTTTGTATAATAAAAGCTGTCGTGACTCATGGACTACCATGCTGAAAACCTGTGGTTCACGCATCAGCCCTTGGACCATCGTTGAGCTAATTAACCATCAATTCGTTTCTGTACCTGCCTCAAGCCCCCCCACCTCTTTTTCTAACCTACAATGCAATTAAATCTGTTTCTTCGGACGACAGTTTCCAAGTCTTGAGGGGAATCAAGATCAACATAGCTCGTGGCCCCGAACGACCGGCACCTCATATATCAAAAACAGGCGCGGATCAGTTTGCAACACCTATTGCTGAATCGTTCAGTAGGTGACTGTTATCAAAAGCGATTCCCCAGCCCGGACCACACCAAAGAAACGATTGTCGAAGTACCGTCCAATTGCCTGTGTTACGTTTGTATTTCAAACTGTGTAGTCTCCGACCCATAGCTGGCTAGAAAAGTACGGTAGGATAAAATTGTTATGAGTCGTTCGCAATCAATCGCGTATATTCAACAAGGAAACAACAAAAGTAACAGCCAATCAGGATCGGGCCCATGTAGGCCGGCAGTATTGACATAGACAAGTGCGTGAGGTTGATCGATCTGAATAGATATCAATCGATAACATCTGTGGAACTAGCAAATTAACTATGCGCAGGTTAGCAGAACGTACGCACTTAAGCCGCAGGCACGTATGCAACAGCCTGCAAATCCGTTTTGCTGAAAACTTTTGAAAATGTTTTGTTGCACCGCGTGATACCCCTACTTAACTCTCATGATCCCTTACAGTTTGCCTATCAATCTGATCTGGTCACATTAGACGCTACATCCATGGGCATTGGGCATTCGCTCGCTTAACATTTCTTGCTTTTGACAACGAAGTTGCTTCTCCCAACAGAAGAGTGCTTGTTGCACGTCTTTATGTGTGTGTGTTCCGATATCTGAAATGTTTAATGTTTTAATCGACAACTTTTCTTAGAAGACCCAGTCCACAGTCGTGTATTAGCACACTGCCATCTTTCCTCAACACCGTTTCCGCTGTTTTTCACGGTTCTATTTTGTCCCTTTTCCTTTATTCTGTGTAAATACACAGTCTCTCCATTCTGAGTCACTGAATTGTTTGCGAGTATACTGATGACGTTGTTATTGCTTGCACATCACCCGGTCCACACAGTTTGTGGTCTCTCCAGGAGAGCCTTGATGAGCACCACGAACGGTCTGTGTCCAGATCTCTTGCACTTAACATCAATAAGTGCATTGGCGTTCCAACCGGCCTCCAAACAGACCCTGCTATCTTTCAGTAGTAATTACTCTTCTTGACCTTATAGTGAATAAGTAAAGCTTCCCTACATCGGATTTTGTTTAATAGATCAGTATCATCTTTGCCCATAACCTGTTCTGGTCTGCTCATGTGATCAGCATCTCCACAGGATTTCGAAGGCTGAACTTTTATACATACATGCTCAGAGAATCAAAAGACTTAACCTTGTTTTCCTGATCGTTTCAATTTTCTCGATTACAGTGGCATTGATAGAGTTGTTTTGATTGGGCTTCTTCATTTCCAATCATTTTGACGCCTGTGACACATTTATTGACAAGATAACACTTGATCAAAGATACTGTCCGCACTGTGGGCCATCGCGAACTCTCTGTTGAATCCCAAAATATCAACTCCTTTATGTGACAGCTTCCATATACAAACAGAGAGCTTCCCTCACCTTGATCAGCTATTGGCTTAACGGTAGACAATTATCACCCAACTCAGGGAGAGACTCTTACAGTACATAATTTATTCTGCGTATACTGAAGTATCATAAATTTTTCCAAATGGTGTTTTTTGGATCGTAAATTATTTTCTTTATTCGCTGTGCGAGATAGTAAATTGCTGAAAATTCATCCTTAGGATGTGTAAACTGTTTCTTGACTTTACATCACTGATGCGATTAATGACGCAATTTATTCACAACTTATTCAGTGATGGCATCAAACTGAAATGCCTAAAAAAGCCGTTTTTGGGCACTGCAGCTGGTAGAGAATGTTAGTAATTACTGAAATGCATTAGCAAAATATTTTCACATTATGAAGTTCTACGGTCATAAAACGAAATCTAACAAATTTCGATGAAGACATATGCATTTTTCCTCCAAAATATTTCCTCAACAGTTAATCATTGAAAAATTGGACCTCGGATCGTTGGAATCGGTGCGAGAGTTCGCGAACCGGATTCTGAAAAAATATCCGAAAATACACTATCTCATCAATAATGCTGGTTTGGCATTGGAGGAGTTTTCCACCACAAAAGATGGATTTGAACAAACAATCGGTGTGAATCATCTGGGTCATTTTCTTCTCACCGAACTCATGCTGCCCGCATTGAAAGCTGCCGCGCCATCTCGTATCATCAATGTGGCATCAAAGTTGCATTTTTACGGACAATTGTGCAAGCCGGATTTGCAGCCAACGGAACGAAACTACACTCAGGTCTCCGCATACAGCTCTTCGAAATTGGCCAATGTGATGCATGCGGTAGAATTGAGCAAACGTCTGGAGGGGACAAATGTTACTGTGGTCAGTCTATCCCCCGGAATCGTAAAAACAGAATTGCACGAAAACTTTAAAAGCGTTACCATGGTAAGTTACAGATAACGAATTCAATTTTGTCCGCTCAAGACGCGACTAGTTCTGATCCAACCACAAGTCCCTGTTTGATTTTTTCTTCCCCGTATGACGACGGAATCCATCCTTTTCCTTTTAGAAAAGTGGCGATAAACTCAAACCTGACAACGAGAAAATATCGTCTCACAGCAAGTTTGAATAACAGCACGAACAGCAGTTATTAGATGCCAGTTAATGTGAATGCATTCGGAACAAATCAGATGAGAATATGATTGTGATCTTATTTTCATTCCAATCTGAACAGCATATAAAATGATCACAAACTCTCATTAACTGACCACCTGCCAAGCCCACTCGCGTGTTCTAGCTTTTCTCTGATGTTTGTTTTTACCACTTAACCACTACTATTTTTGGCTGTATTTCATTCAGAATCCATAAAATATAAGCCACAATTTAAGGTCGACAGATCCGGCAGACTGAACCGTTGATGGCATCGAGCTCTGTTGACCACATGTACGGACGGGTATGGGAAATCCGAGGGCTATGGTTAGGATTCCCCGTAAAAACCGTTTGCTTTCACGTGGGGACACTTAACGAATAGCGCTCATGAAGCGTACCCTTTTGCTGATAAATATCTCAGGCTGAAGAGGTTAATCAGTGAATAAGGTGACCGCTAGAGGACTGCTTAATTCATGGTCTTCGCCTAAGTGAAACGATAGGGTGAATCGCGCACTCCATCAGAACAGTCCATAAATCGACCAATGAATTGCGAACTTTAAGATTCTCTCGAAAGCCTGAGATAAGGCATATGGAGTGCGGGAACTGTCTATCCTATCTGATATTGTAAATGGGAGCTTTAGCTAAACATAGTTCGTTCTTTGATTTGTTGAGTTTCAATCATATATGCTATTGTTATTCAGCCTGTCTCAGTCCCATTGTGGTAGCTGAGAAATAATTAAAGCGGAGGTAACTAAAATTCTCATAACTCTATCAGGTGAATTCATTGGTGAATTTTATAAACTCTTCCTTTGTTCATTTTGAAACGATATGTTGTGCAATTAGACTGCTTGTTTTTTTTAAACTGGTAGATATGTGCACTACTTAGAAGTCGATATTTTCTAATGCTTATTTTCATAGCAAAACGGTTATAGTTCCTTTTTTTCTATCATTATCTAAACCCCCGTGTGATTCAACAAGCGATTGTTGCACGTTGTTCTCAAACCACTTCAAATTACCGCATGGGACGGCGCTCAGACGACCCTGTATACAGTGCTGGTTGATAAACTTACCCCTGGTGGATACTACTCAAATTGTGCACTGAAGGAGCCCAATTCAAAAGTCAACAACGAACAAGAACGCAAGTGGTTTTGGGAGAAATCATGTGAACTTGTCGGACTTGCAAATGGATAACACGTGTGCGTGTGTGCATGTCAAGACTAAGCGGTCGATATTACTGTTTGTAGGATTGCCGTTCTTCCTGCTCCTACTGTTGCATTCGCGTCGCTGGTGCTGTTTCTAATTTCTCGACAAAGCGAACTCTGATTCTCATGTAGCATGACACACACCGTGCAAAATCTATCACAAATTGATGTGCTTGTGCATTCGAAATAATAAAAATAATCTTATCATACGCCGGCATTATTCTAATATCTGCACTGATCTTAAAAACATCTAACATCAATAGTTGTGAAGGTGGTGGCGGATATGGGCAAAGTGATGATGATAAAAGCTAATTGTGTTCTTCCATGCATAAAGCTGTCGGAGTCAGCTAGGTACCTGGTTACCCCAAAAGAATTGTCTGCATCGTTTGGAGTTATTTCAACTGGTCCCATAGGCTTCAGTTTGATTCAAATCGGAAATAGGCTCGAAGAACAAATAATTCAAACCTACTGTTAACCCACAGGAATCGTGTATCCAATCTCTCTGTTGTGTCTCGCCAAAATATTACCGAACCCGGTCCCACAATGCTTGGCCCAAACATTCCAGTTAAATGACGGTTACAAACAATGAAAGCTTTTATTAATGGTACCAGCCAAACGTGGACTGAAAAGTGTGAAACGTGCGGTATATATAGAGTGAATTACTGCCCAATAATTTGTACGGAATCGGGGTTACGATGGAGCCACAAACCAATTTGACGTTCTCTTCTCGTTACTCTGCCGACTACATATGCAGGACCGTCGAGCAAACACCGGCACTTTCTCACGGTGTCGGCTGAACCCAATCCATTTCAAATGCAAATCGCGAGAACTCCTAAGGTACTGTTAGGCTTTCCCTGACACTTTCCATCAAGTTCTACCGTCGAAAATGTATTCTTTGTTGTGATCGCCTGATTAACCCCTGAAGATCAAGCGATTCGATGGTCATTATTTTAACATTGATTTCCCAATTATGGTTCAGGCTATCTCAAAAAGACAAGGTATTTTATTGTATCTACAGATTGTTTTTCGGGGACATTGGTCATTCCCTAGTTGTTGGAATTGGAACAAAGTTTCTCAAAAGCAATTTATTCATTATTTCAAAGCTTTCCTTCACTAATTCAAGCAATTTGTGCTATGAATCTGTGAGACAACCCGAATGGATCTTGTCGGCGTTAATTTACCAACGTCAGCGTCGGTTTTTGTTTAGAAAATACGCCATTTTTCGAGTATATAATTCGCTTGCGTACCGACTCCTACGTAATATAAAAAACAAGGTACCAAGTTGTGGGCAACCAACTGAAAGTGGTGAAAGGTTTTTTCTTGATGAGATTCATTGTGTGAAGATGGAACCCATTTCTTGGTCACCAACCCCGATACGGGTGTGGTTGAAAAAAAATTATAACACTTTAGTAAGCTAGTTTTCCACTACAATCTTTCTCCGCCTCTGACTATATTATTTCTTAGCATATATCAATGATCAAAGGAGCTGCAATATGCACGTGTACCGATGCCGCAAAATAGTCCAGGTGAGATCTTCCAAACCTGTGTCTTTGGTTTATCTGGTTACATCTTAGGTGAACGCGATTCACTTGTTCTAGCCTATTCACACTCAAATGGGCGTATTAATCCGACCGGAATTTCACCATAGTTCGGCTATGCTTATTGCCACTTGTTTGCATCTGAAGTGCGCATCTTATATCTGTAAAATGTATGTATTCCTCGATTATATTTCAAAGACATGAAAACAACTCGGGGTGGTAAACAAGGAATTTACATTCTTCTAAATTTTCTAAATTTTATATTTTGTGTAATGGGAAACACAAATAAACAAAGTTTGGTGAATAACTCAATGTTGACTGCGAAAAAGCCGACACTCTTGAATGGCTTAAACTAAATGAGCATGTTACTAAACAAAGAAAAAAGGAACTATTATGTTTGAAGAATTTGGAATATGATATTTGGTTTCCGTTATTTGATTCAGCACAGGCATCACACCCTGTTGATAAAATGTACGATTTTTCCATTTCAGTCATGGTTCGCGGTGTACCTCAGTAGCGAAAAATCATACTGAACATAAAGACAGCTCTACGGATAGCGTAATTTCCTTTTATAATTACTTCTTCATTCCGGAGCACCTAGGCCAGTTATTTTGGCTTGGAGTTTACCAATTTGGGAATCGCGATTGCATTTATCTGTCTCTCCCCCACCCCCCGGCAAGCACATGCCATATGTGGTGCCTTAACGACCAATCTCGCAGCAACTGCCCTAAACACACAGCACAAGGTTCCCTCACAATCCGATCCGAACAATTAGATGGCAACTTGATAAGTTCAATTTAGGGTCTTGTCAACTCAGAAACTGTCTACATCGCAGAAAACAACTTGCAATATGGTCAAAACGATTTCTATAAAAAAACCTTACGTGCGATATAACAAGTGAGATTATCTTGGAAACCTAAAACTTTTCTGAACGCGCTGCAAGCGTGTTAGCACCATAAAATCTGCATTATCAATGCGAAGAAATTCGCATCGCCCAGGGTTCCCGTGTGCAGGAGTCTAACATCATCTAGGCGCTCATATTTGATTCATCACTCAACTCATCAGGCGAGACGCGGACATCTACCTTATGTGACCAGTGAATTTAATTTCGTCTGAATACCGTGTCCACAAATAAATGTAATACGAACGTTTTGGGGGCACTCTAAGCGCATCGGATTTGAAATGGATGAATGGCTGAATGTTCCAGACTCGTTTGCTCGCAGCTGGATGGGACACGAAGTTAAGAGGGGGACGGAGCGTTGTCACCCATAAATAGGCGACCGGTTTACAGAATTGCGAGGCACCCAGTAGGTTTAGTAGCACACACGCGATCATCTTAAAATATTGATCCCCCGGCTGATGAGAGTTACATGATCTTTCTCCGAGTGTCTTGCTCATCAACCATCAGAAATTCATCAGCAAAAATAAACCGAACGCCAAACTTATTCAAGATTGACTTATTATGCGGACACACTCCAATTTCAATGGTCAATTCGGCAATGGCTGCCTGAAAGATGTCCAATTGGTGTCACCATTGTCCATTTCAATGTGGTGACTAGATCGAAGAAGTTTTAATGACATAATGACTGAAATTATGAGTTAGAATTACAAAAGAGGTGACCACATTACGATGGTGCACGTTTTATGTCCTGGACGATTTCAATGCATCTCAAATTGGTGCATTCTCTGGAAAATGCAATGCGTATAGAGGGCTTCAGCATGTGATAGAAAAAGCTATCATCAAGTTCTTTTCGGTGATACAACGAGGGGGTTTCGATCGGTTGGTAGGCAAACCTAGGCAATCCTGCGATTCTTGACTTATAGACACTCCACTCTCTTCTTGGATTCCAGATAATAGCCGAGTGTACACTGTACGTCTCAACGGTTTAGTACAGTTAAACAGCTACAGAACGAATCGTCAGTGCTTATTCATCTGATCAATGTATGAACCAACCGGTTGCAGTACATTTGAAATCAACGATGCATTCTACAAGGATCTTTCTCACTTATTCCAAACTGTTCGATCAGCGGGTGTCGTAGTAGTCACCGGAGACTTTATTGCCCAAGTGGGATTCCTGGTAGAATCAGAAAGGCTTCTTGGCGGTCCAAATCCAACCCTAGGTAATAAGACGGACAAGGGAGATCACATACTTCAACTTTGCGCGAACCACGAATTGTTTCTGTCAAGCGCCAGCTTCTCGCACAAGAAAATACAATGACTTACTTGGATATCACCAGTCTCTTCACAGTGATGGACCCAAATCGTCCATAGCGCTTTCGGTTACCGCTGGAGGGGGTAATTCAATACTACCGTTCTCACTGGTCATCACCTTTGAATACGTGCCACGTTTGTTACAAGTTGCCCCTTGGCCTGGCAAACAACCACAATAATACCACCAGCAACGGATGCCAAAGATACAATGTCAGTGATCGTTGCAAATCGGCCTTCGAAGCGGAGATCTCCGATTGTCTATCAGTTCAACCACCAGCCAAGGGACTCAATGATCAATGAAAAAAAAATCAGGGAAGCCATTTAGATATCGATAAAAACAACGGCGGACTCAAGCTCAGGCTCGAAACACAAGTGATGGATCTCATTAAACTCGGATGTTATGCTAAAGGCTCTTAAAACCACTCCTCCTTATGGCACATGCAACGCGCAAATCCCTCAAACGCCAGCTCATCAAGAGTTTGAATAATGACCGCGAGAAGTGGTGGATAGGAAAGTGTAAAGAGATAGAGAGAGCTGCGCTTATTGGTACTAGTCGCACTCTTTTCCGTCTAATTATAAATATTTGTCCCAAGAAAATAGGAATGAGATGATAAAAGAATCCGATTGCACACTGATTCGTCATCGGCAACGCTGTCTTGATCACTATTCAGCTTGGGAGCAATAACGATATATATCGTTTGCCACAGACATCTGTAACAAATCCGTCGATGATCCAAAAACTTATTTCCATGAAGAATTGGTCGTAATAACACATCGATTCCCCAAAAGTGTTGCATCCTTGGGATCTTTATAACAAGAAACAGCCATGGTTGTTCAGCTGGTACTATAGAATATCTTTAGAAATAAATAAATTTCATTAATTAGCAACACTTGGAACATCTATTTAGTTCATTCGTTCCATCCATTTAACCTACGTTTTTTTAACCGATGGACATCGGTAACAAAGTGCACTTGTAGTGACAAGGACTGCCTCCCATCCTGCATGTGCCCTTCCTCCTATGCAACGCATTGTTTTACCACACCAAGGCCACATCTTTGGTCAGCGCGTGTTTGCCTTCCACTTTCCGCACGCTCGCTCACGCTTTCGCATCTCCCTTTTTGATCTGCAGGTTATAACAATACAATCGTCCTCCGTTTCGTGAACTGTCTGATTCTGCTTTCGTACGAACGCTCATTTGTGATATAGAGGTATTAGCTCGGGGTATCGATAAGCCAGTG